ATGAGCCAAAAACCCAACAGTGCCTCAGTAAAAAAAATTGTTGGGATGTACATTCAATGATTACAATCTGACAGTGGTGAGCAGCACTAATCTGAAAAATTAGTTCCACTAGCCCTAAAACACTAACTCAAATATTTAGGTCCCCTAATTCTAAAGCAGTAATGCACTGAAAGCTTTAGCAAAAGCTAATTCTAAAGCACTAAAATTGATCAGTCAACCCATGAACATTCTTCAACAGACAACATGAGTCACACACTGCTCTCTTAATACTTATCAATGACATCCCACAGCCGTATTTGAGTTCATTTATTGTCAATATACAGTATCATCACCTGGTGGATAAGTGACACATGTATGAACAAAATATGACAGTTTTCACATCAGCTGTTAACATTAACGTTGATCAATAACATTTATAGACCCCAGTGAGTGCTTCTAAATTTAGCCTTTAAATTTAGCAAATGCTAATCCACAAATAATTTTTTTAATTAGTAAAAGCCCTAAAGCACTAATCAGAAAATTTGTTCCCTTATTAGTGCTTTAGTAGAACTGTGCCCACCACTGCAATCGGAGAATTTTTATCCAATCTGACAAGGGGTTTATAAAATATTTTGCTAACAGAAAGAGTTGATTCCAACAATTCATGCCAAAGAGTGCATCGCTCAAAGTGTTAGAGCTGACTCTGTTATCGGCCCAACAAATTTTAGCTCAATAGCTCAATATCTGTAGGACTGACTGAGTTATAGTCACTTTGGTATTTACTAAGACTGATTAGCAGTGCAGCCAGAATCACAGCTGTGCATTCAATAATTACTTCCTAAGAGCTTCAGTAAGATCCATCYGATGGGTCATGAGATRTTTTGCTAACAGAAAAACACACTGGGATGTAGGCATAAACATGCACGTGACTTCCATCTTGTGGTACTGGGCAATAAAAAGAAACATAAAAACTTGTTGAATTAGATTGTAAAAGCTTGTTATTCTGCAGCATGGTCAAAATTATCTCAGACAATTGGCACTTAGTTTCAAAAAATGGCTCTAAGTCATAATCATTGTCATAAATTACACTAAAGTCAACCCCTTAAGGCTTATTTTTGAGTTTAGACTGATAGGAAAAAGAATAGGTGGGGGAAGGGGGGTAAATGAGACAATACAGCATGCTCTCCTCCTCTCATCGGCGGTAATGATCAGAGCTGTAAGGATTAAGTACCAGCGTCCCAGCCAAGGAGCTTTGCAGGGCCAAATGTAGGACCATTGGCTCCTCTAAGCTGTCTGATTTATTCAGCCACAGACACCACAGCTCCTCCAGACACACTGTGTGGAGCGCCYTGCTGTGGCTAACAGGAGGAACTGCAAGAGGAAGCTGCATGGAAGACAAATCAAAACAAACAAAAAGTCTTGGGCCAAAATGAAGTCAGCTTCAAAAGTTTGATTTTTGAAATGCATTCATTGATAACATGTATTTAATTTCCAATAAATAGCATAAATAAGTGTCCTAATTTTATATTAAAAATAAGAAAGTATAAYTTCAGTTGACATTATCAGAGATATAATTAATGAAGATTTGTTTACTTGGCCTATACAAAATATGATACTCAAAATAAACATGGTAAAAGTAAAAATTGTAGAAATATAATTTACTATATTTATATCTAATGACATKTACTTGAAGTATCCCTCTTTTTGGTGAGGGTTTTACAGTTTAAGTGCAGTTCTTCTGACAGTTATTTATAATGTGATATTTAAATCATACATGGTGCTTTTTTTWAAATAAGTGCACCAAAATCAACTCCCCAGGCCAACATTTCTTTAATTCATATGATTATATTTTTTATAAGCAAGCTCAAGAGCCAGCATAGAGTTGCGACACTGTCTCACCTCGGGACGGATAACACACATGACCACCCACAAGATTTCCTGTGCTTCCCCCTGTTTTTCTACTCTCGGGCTATAAGAAACAAACTCAGTGGATGGATTGAAGAAACAGGAGTTGTGCCTAAATGGGTCATTCACAAGACCCAGTGTATGACAAACAGTACACAGGAAACATGGGGTTGATCCGCAGTCTTTCGCGTTACACCATCTACAACGATGAACATCAATGGAGACGAAACAGATCATGTGACGGTGGAGCTGTGGACTCATGAGGAAATCATCTCTGAGTGAAACAGGCGGTGTGGAAAAGGACTGTGTCATCCATCTTCCTTTATCAYGCCGTGTCTTCTTCTTTCTTGGAATCGCTAAATAAGATAATTTTATCTGCAAGAAATAAAGTCACTTTGACATTGAAAAAGTTTTTTTTTTTAATTATAAAGAAGGCCGATTTCTATTGATTGTGATTGATTCATGACAGTAATAAAAGCATAAAACTTCCAAGKGGGTGAATAGTGTTTGTCGTCACTTAAATGTCAGTCGCAGATTTAGGCCCTCTAAGTGCTCTGTGGGAGTAGAGCTCAGAGGGGAGCATGGTGCAGTGCCAGCTGCTAGAATACTGAAAATATATCTGGAAAGCTGCTCGTGGTTTCAAATGCAGCCTGAATGTTGAGTGAATTTGTGCAAAGCAGTGACATTACATTTACAGAAGAAGACAATGTGATCAGAGGTGTACAACAACTGCTTCCAAGTTTGTTTTAGAGAGGGTGATAAGTGTTGTCGTGTTAGGGGAAATCAGCAAAAACACATGAAAATAAAAAACAAAGTGAGACTGAAAGGTGATTGTTTTTTTTTCTTAAACTAAGTACAAGTACTTAAGTTGGGGTACTCACCGATACAGAGTCTGAGTTAGAACTGAAACATTACACAGTGACTTTAAAAACATATTTCTTTTATTTCAAACATGTCAAACTCATTTTCGGCTGCCAGATACTTTTGAACTTTGTGCACCTCCACCCAGTGGGTTGCTGTCATTTCACAGGTAAAATGATCCACATGGGAGAAGTATATGGTCAATGCTGGCTTTAAAGCAGCATACACTCATTTTAAAGACATTAATACATCTTTGAAGCTGTCATGGGCCACAAAAAATGCTGTAGCGGGTCACATTTGGCCCATGGGCCTTGAATTTGACATGGTTTAGACCAAGGTGGCTCACCTTCCCTAAGGTCTRCAGCCCCTCCAACTGAAGGATTGTGTGGGCGACCCCTTTAAGTTTCGGTAACTGTTAAATGTGTTTTTGAGGTTTTCTTTGTGTCTGGCAACCATCACTCATTGCTTTTACTGACTGTTGAATGCTCCAGCAACTGCCTGATAACACTTCCACTCCACTTGTGACACAGCAGTTTACACCCTCTGGTGGCCATTCTACACAAGCCATCTCCATATAAATTAAATAATTTATGTACATTTTTTGTGTGTGCACATGCACTAAAATACCCTCTGCTTATTTTGTTAGTATGAATCTGTTTTTTTTTTTTGTTTGTTTGTTTTTACATTGAATCACTGTAGGCCAAAAAGATTGTGACTCTTTTCCCCATATCCTTCAGACTGCTGTGATTTCCCGAAGAAATGTCTGACCATATCCTTGGAGGAGCATCCCACCCACCCTGGAGCAGCTTCAGTGTCATCCTTGGTTCACATAAAACATATAAACAACATTTACATTTATTTAAATATTGGTTCATTCATTCCAGATGCAAAGCTTTTTAAAATCAAATAAACAAAATGAAAACTTAGGGCAAGTTTTAGGGCGGTGTGATGCTAGCCCTGTCACTTCAACTCAGGAAGGTCTATCCAAGCTGGGTACCTTTCTAGGTGAATTTACATGTTTTCTTCATGCTTTCCTGGGTTTTCTCTGGTTACTCTGGTCTCCTCCCATATGGCAAAAACATGCATGGTAATTTAATTAAACATTCTAAATGTTCAACGTTTAAATTATTTTAGTACATTTTTAAACTATTTTATTTAGTGTATAAATTAGTGTGACATAAATGTCCAATTATTTCTACATTGTGAAAAAAATAATTAAAAAGCTTTGTGTATCTACTAAATAAACTAATGGTTATTGAATCCCAGTCACAGACCTTTCAGAATGAAGTTTACATGTTCCATCTGTATATGAGGCCCTGATGGACTTGTGACCTGTCCCTGGTGGTCCCCGGCCCCTCACRCAGTAACTGACCAAATTAGACCAAATGCAGATTTTTTGGCCTAAATGCGAAACACTGTGAATAGTTGGAAACTAATATTGTACACCACTGGACACAGCATCTCTACCGTGAAACATGGCGGTGGCAGCATCATGATGTGTGGAATTTTTTTTCTTTTTTTTCAGCAGGGACAGGGAAGCTGGTCATAATTAATGTAAAGATGAATGAAACTAAATACAGGGCAATTCTGGGAGAAAAAATATTAGAGGTTGCAAAAGGCTTAAACTGTGGGACAGACGTTTGTCTTCCAGCAAGAGGTTTGTTACTCTGGCCAACTAATATAATTTAGGCGGTGCAGATTGTTTTACTTTTAGAATTTAGAAATAAAATAATGCACAATTGTCATAATTTCCTTAAGATTGAAACACCTAACTGATATTTGTCTACATGCAGATATTTAGCAGGAAAAGCAAAGGCATTATAAACCTTAATTTACACCGTGGATTCATAAACATGCCAAAAAATAAATTGAAACAATGCTCTGAGTCGACACACTCTTCCAGATATCCTGATTTCACAAAAGTAAAACTTTCACCAGGCGATTAAGTGGCGGAAGTAAGTTTTCAAAAATACGACTAATGGTGTTGCAGCTTTCCTTTCAAAATAAAAGATCAGTAAAGTCGATTGAGGTTGAAGCAGAGCACTGCAGTCTAAATGCGAAAGAAATTTTCCTCAAGCAATTACATATAAATAATTTTATTATTAAGATCAAATAAATTAAAACAATGCCTCTTTTTCTTAACTACGTTCATCAATCCACATGCAGCGGAGCTTGAGGCGCGTTTTTTTAATTTACTTTGAAGGTAAAAACCGGAAGTGCAGCCTTGTACTTCATTGAACTTAACACAGTTATAGGTGTGGATGAAGGAGAGATACTGTATGTTGGAGGAAAAAAATACAGACTGCGGAAAAGTTTTTTTTATTGCCAGCCACAGTCTGTCGCCGTGAGTGTTTTCTGTGGTTTCTTCGTGACAGGAAAGAAGGTGGCGTTTCCATAATGGCGACTACAGCGCAAACTGGTGTTTTCATGATGGTCAGAAAAGTTTGAGCAAGAACCTTTTTTTTTCTTCCTCCAACTCAGCTGTTATTTGTGGTGTCACTAACGTTAGGACAAACTACTACCATGACACACTTCACTTGTTTTTCAGTTTGGGCATTTGCTTTTAGTTTATACTTCGGCGTGTCGAACTGTTACTTTTCAATTCCGCTGAGAATATACCCGGGGAAGTTCAACATATCMAGGGACCGCGTTGACGTGACTCCGCTTCGGCTCGTAGCTGATGGAGACGGCCTCTCTCTGGCCTCTGACCCGGCTGGAACTGTCAGCTTTCTGGACATGGTCAACAACTTGCAAGGGGACTCTGGAAGAGGCTACTACATAGAAATGTCTCTGGGTACTCCTGGCCAAAAGGTACAACTAATGTCAGTGTGTTTGTTCACTGCTTAATGTGCACAGGTGCTTTCTGATATATGTTGATTAATATGCCTTTGAAGTTGTGTTTGGTGCTCTGCTTTGAATTGCACGTGTGTTTTATTGATTAATGTTATGAGCTTTGGACCAGCTATATCCAGGGAAGTTATGCACAGTGTGTGTGTAGACATAAATGCTGATCAYTGTGTCACCCCATCATCTAAGACASTGGTTCCCAAAGTTGGGGTCTGGACCCAAAGTGGGGTCCCGAAACATCAAGGTGGGGTCCTGAAAAGATTTTCTGAATTAATTACATTTTTGCCTTATTTGTTACAAAGAAGTGAGGTTAGTGTATTTAAAATGGATAAATGTAGTATAAAAATATTGTTACTATGTCCATGAT